ATATATATATATATATATATATATATATATATATATATATATATATATATATATATATATATATATATATATATATATATATATATATATATATATATATATATATATATATATATATATATGGAGATGTTCAAATAAAAACCTCACTATCCTAAAAACTAAAAACCAATCCTCTCCATTGGATCTAGATTCAATCAATGGCTGAGATTATAAAACTATTACAGCTACATAAGGGTAAAATTGGAACAATTCACTACATTAATGGTGGCTGGCAACATTGGAAACTAGAGATAATGATTAAAACCAAAAATACAACACGTCCTCTCTCTCCAAAATCACAGCAACTCTCTCTCTGTCTTCAACATCTCCCTATCCACGGTCTTCTTCAACCTTCGTCTTCAACCTTCATCTTCAACCACTGTCTTCAACCTTTGTCGTCGTTAAATTATTTTGACGCTTTAATGGTAAGTTTATGAAATTTGTTTGATTTTTCGTCTAAAAGTTTTAGTTTTAACCTTAAAGATCGTAGTTTTTTGTTGTAAAAGGTGAAATATTTCACCTTTTAGTCTGAAAAGTTTTTTGTTTTTTGAAGAAACCAGTTGAAAAACGAAGACACGCATGAGTGAATCTAGATTCACTGCAGTGAATCTTGATTCACAGCAGTGAATTCAGATTCAGTATGTGAGGTGTTTGTTTTTTACCATAAAAATCATATTTTTTTGCTGTAAAAGGTAAAATCTTGTCATGGTTTAAAATTTTATAGCTTGTTTTTTACCATAAGTTTCTTATTCTTTTTGTTTAAAATTTTATAGCTTGTTTTTTACCATAAGTTTCTTATTCTTCAATATAATCCAGATTCACTGGAGTGAATCCAGATTCACTGGAGTGAATCCAGATTCACTGGAGTGAATCCAGATGAAAGCTTGCGAAAGCTTGGATGGTTAGGATGGTTTTTAATGAATTGTTGAAGAAATAAATGCATGTGCTGTAATTTCGAAGAAATAAACGCATGAGTGAATCTAGATTCACTGCAGTGAATCTAGATTCAGTTATGTGAGGTGTTTGTTTTTTACCATAAAAATCATAACTTTTTGCTGTAAAATGTGAAATCTTATCATGGTTTAAAATTTTATAGCTTGTTTTTTACCATAAGTTTCTTATTCTTTTTGTTTTTTGTTTTTGCAGATTTGCTATTGTTTGATAACGAGTTTCAGTCCAGTGAATCTGGATTCAATCCAATAAATCGAGCTTCAATATAATCCATATTCAATGGAGTGAATCCAGATTCACTCCAGCGAAAGCTTGGATGGTTAGGATGATTTTTAATGAATTGTTGCTGTGTTCTTCATGCGAAGATGAAAGATCAAAGCTTGATAGAAGATGGAAGTGAGTTACAGAGAGTATTAAAGGACGTGTTGTATTAAAGGACGTGCTGTAAAAGTGAGTTAGAGAGAGAAATGGGGAAGTGAAAGGACGTAGCACGTTGATAGTAAGAAAGAGTATTAAAGGACGTGTTATATTTTTTGTTTTAATCATTATCTCCAGTTTTCAATGTTGCCAGCCACCATTAATGTAGTGAATTGTTCCAATTTTACCCTTTTCACATTGTTTTTTACAGCTGATGTGTATTAAATTTGTCTATATTTACAATTCTACTATCGAAATGTAGGCCATTGGATTAGATAGATTGGAGGTTAGGATTGGTTTTTAGTTCTCTAGGTTTTTATTAGAACCTCTCCATATATATATATATATAAATAATATATATATATATATATATATATATATATATATATATATATATATATATATATATAATATATATAATATATATATTTATATATTCACCAGAATGATGGACACATCCGGTCAAAATTGCAGTAATATATATTATAATATATATATATATTATATATATATATATATTATATATAAGTATATATATATATATTAATATATGAGTAGTTATATAGTATATATAGTATATATATATATTAAATAATTATTGTAAAAAATATGATAAAAAATTAAGTTTTTTCCTATTCTAATTTAAATTGACATTATGCAAATCACATCTTATTATCGTTATATTCTCGCCTAATTTCCCAAATGATTATTTATATACTGATGCGTACCTCCTCCCCGCTTCATGTCCTTGCTTGAGTTGCTCAATTACCCATAATTGGGTAATTTTAAGTTCAACCCCATTTGTCAAGGAACGGTATTTTAAATAAAAAAATATCAAGTGCGTTAAAGGCATTTTTAATTGATTAAAATTGCAACCAATTAGGTCTTTTTTTCTCGTCCGGCGACCACTTTTCCGGGCGAGAACTTCTAACGTGGCATGTTATAATTCAACCTGGTTTTTCTGACGTGGCAGTGGCAGGAAGAATAAGAGTCGATACATTTTAAAATCCCCCATTTCTAAAATTGGTAAAAAAATTAGCGAAAAATTAGTGGAGAAATTACCGTATAAATAGAACCTCTTTCTCTTGCATCGATCCATGGCCGCGCCGGCGGCAATCTAGTCTGCAGTGATCTTCGTCTTCTCACTCTCTTCTCTCCGAATTCCCATGGCGTTTTCTTCTAGAAGTTCCTGGAATCGGGGGTTTTGGCTGCTTCTGTTAGCGGTAAAGGTAAGATAATTGAGTTGGATCTGAGATCTGGAGTGAATGCGTGGAAGTTTGATCTTTGTTTTGAAATTTTTAGGGTTCAGGTTGGTTCGTTTTGGACTTAAATTGTGATTAAGCCACATCAGCAGCTAAAACCGAGCCACATCATCAAACCGAGCCACATCATCAGCTAAAACACAGATTAAGTCATCACGTGTCACGCACGTGACGAGTTCTCGCCGGAAAAGTGGTCGCCGACGAGAAAAAAGACCTAATTGGTAATTTTAATCAATTAAAATGCCTTAACGCCGATTTTTTTATTTAAAATACCTTCTTGACAAATGGGGTTGAATTAAAATACCAATATGGGTATTTAGCCCTTGCTGAGTTCTACATAGATTGGATTGCTTCTCCTTGATTTTTTAAAATCAAGAATGTAATGATGCGTTGAATCGTGCCGGATGCATCTCACACGTGTCGCGGTGCGGAGGCCATGGTCGCATGCCACGGCGACACGCAGCGAGTGGCCCAAAATTAAAGCGTGTAAACAGTTTGGCCAACTTTACATAGAAAGGGGAGCCAGAGAGGCCCAAGGAAATGACGTCGACCCTACCACTGACTTTTTTAATATCTACGGTCGGTTTGTCCTCTCTCTCTCTCTCTCTCTCTCTCTCCCTCCCTCGTCACAAATGATCAAACTCTGTGGCAAAGTGTTACATTTGTTCGCTCGACTCACAGTTTCTCAAATAAAGAAAAACGAGACAAAATAATAATAATAAGAAGAAGAAGGGAAAAGGAAAAAAGTTTCTGAAATGACCCGCTCGTGCGAAGCTTTAGGATGTTCGAGCCAGTTTAATTACATGACCGCGTTTCGAATACCACACAATTAGTGGAGGAGAGGAGCCTGACTGAGCCCATAAACAAGCCCGACTTAGAGCCAGAAGGCCACTTGGGCTGAGGGACTGTTTCTGAGCCCGCTAAGAGCTAAAATTGATCCTGCTTCTGTTTTGGCGTATTTCCTATTTGGATAGAAGCTGCGAGTTCTGGCCCAGTTTTCCCAGCTCCGCATCGAAGTTGGCCCAAGCTCCGTCGAAACCAATCCAGGCATGGTTAAGAAAAGAAACTAGAACTGACATAGTTTTGTGGTGTGATTGCCGAGCAGAGCCTAAAGGCCCCGTTTGACAACTCCAATTTAATATTTGTTTTAATGGAGCATAACTAGTTTAAGCCCTTGTCCTAGTCTCTCTAAACGTTTCCCTTTAGGGCCTGTTTAGTTAATGGCATGAGTGGGTTCCACACTAGAGCCCAATAGGACCCGCAATTCATAAAGTAAATTACTTGTCACAAGGAGCACAAGAAGCTTTGTTACACGCACCTAAAATATGGGACCAACAGGGGGACGTGAGGTGTCCCCATCCTATTGCATAACGAGCTGATCATCATTATGCAATATGAGGGGGACACCTCACCTGTCCCCATGTTGGTCCCCATATTTTAGGTCCATGTAGCAAAGCTCCTTATCACAAAAAGTATCTTTACGCTGACCCGAAGGACAAATAATAAATACAATCATTTTCATGAAATCTCAATTTTTTTCAACACGTGCCTCTCTTTTCACTGAGAAAGTGTCAAATGATCCCCGGTTCATAATATTAGATGTGCATCAAATCGATGTCAACCATTAGATCATTAATTTGACTTTAAGATTAGTACACAGATTCAACAACCAACATCCATTAGATGCACGCCAAATATTATGGATCATTTTGGTTAGATTGCCGACCAGAGCCTAAAGGCCTCGTTTGACAATTCCAATTTATATTTGTTTTAATGGAGAATAACTAGTTTGTCGCCAATGAGGCATTTTGTGATATTTTGTGATATCGCCAATGAGGCACTTTGTGATATTTTGCAAGGAGAGTGTTATATTTCGTATCTATATATTAATTCCCTTAATTAAAATGCCTTTGATGATACTGTACGGGGATCACCCACCGTTAGAAAAGAAGAAGGAAAAAAGAAAACTTGCTTTGTTACATGAATAACTCGTTTTTATGTTGCCCGTTATCTTAAACTGTAGGGCTAACACAGTTACATACAAATTAGTATGCATACTTAAGCAGACAATTTTCTTAATAAAATTTAAATGAAAAGAAAATTATTAAATTTTTAATATGCTTCAAGTCCACAATTATGTATC